GACGTGCATTTTTCTTTAAATGCGTTTCGCGTTTTAATGGAGGTGGGGAAGGTAGGGAACGATGCAACGTATAAATTGAAAAATAACTTTTGGCCTGAACGCTCGACAAAATCGTCCGTGAACGCATCGAACAATTGATTTTAAACGGACATCAGCGCGCACGTATATTTCTGTTATTCTACAGTCGCGGCAAGTGACAGGTTAAATTGTTCCGTTATTGCGCGGTCGCTGAAAATCAGATTTTGCATTCGAGCCGTGTATTAAATTTGCTTGTTCTTTTGATACCGCGATCGCAATGTTTATGAAAACACGCGAGCGTCGCATCCTAAATTCCTCCGAAAATTCCGTACGCTGGTCGATTGTATCTCTTTATTATTACATATGCACGTCGAATATTAATGTTCCTTTAACTCTGCATTTCCATAGTAATCGTTCTCTGTGATCGTTCTCTACGTCGAATTGGCGAGTACTGTCACCAGTACGGTTAATAAAAGGCCAATTAAAAATTCGCAATAATAATAGACGATGTTAGACGAGGTTACGTTAATCGCTTCGCTGGCTCGATAAGGAAGAACCGAGCAAAATTCTTCGTTAAACAGCAGATTCGAATTTATCATATTTTGTTGAATATCCAGTTTCACGTGTCAAAGAAAACGAGTATGGGGAGAGTAAAGCACAGATTTATCAGCTTTAAAATATTCCGCGTGATTCGTCGTTGTTGCTCGGCGAAATTAAACTTTTGATTCTCAGAGGAACATAGAGGAATTCTCACGTGAGTTTTCCACTCGATAAGTCATTCTAGATCGTGAGTACAAGAATGAGGGTATTTTTAATAGAAACACGCATACGAGGTTGTGCTTTGCGGCTCGCAGCTCCGGGACAACATTGTAGCCGCGGGGTGTACGTATAGCCGAAAGGAGATTAGACGGAATTAGATTAGATCAGAGCTCATTACACTTCGGCTTAAGAGTGAATTAGGCGGAGAACGAGTTGGCTGAGAACGGCAAGAGGAGAAAAGCAAGTTCCCTTCAGCCTGTGGAGGGTTTGTATCGTTCAACTTGTTTTTCTCGCAATCCATCATAGGGGAGAAAGAAAGCCTGATACAGTCTTCCAGCCGCTCGAGATACGTATGTAATCACGTACGTTATTAATATACATGAATACAAGTCGGCCCTCCACTCACCTTTCCCAACTATGTTCATTTCCACGACAGGCATTCCCGTGTAACTTACTTTTTCAATCTGGCGCGAAGGAAAAAAAAATCGAGTCCTCTTTAATCTTTTGCATAACGTAGCCAACCTTATAATTATAACTTTTCCTATACAGTGTCCCGGAAATCGTGGTACAAGCGGCCGAACAATGACGATGAAACAAGCGAAAATTAGTCGAGGAACAACATTTTTTTCTTTTTTTTCCTCCCCTTCATTTCAAGCTCCGTTTTCGAAGAAATCAAGTTTGAAAATTTATCGGCTGTACTTGAATTCAGCTGGTTCTGGACTGGCCAAATGGCCAGGAGTGAATGATGAAGGAGGAAACTTACTCTATCAGCGATAATAACTATCAAGAGTATACAATTTATCAAGTACACACATTCGCCAAGCCAACTCTTTGCTAAATACATTCGAACTCTATTCTCTTGAAAATGAGACTCTGAATTAGCGCACACGTGTACTTGATAAATTTTCGAAATTAATTTTCTGGGGAATGAATCGCCGTGTAAGAAAAACTTTGTCCCACGTGTTTCGCTTGTTCTCGCAATTAAAAGAACCTCCAGTCTAATCTAGAACTAGCCAGTTGATAAATCATCAAACTTGATCTTCTCGAAAATGCAGAAAATTGATTTAAATGAAAAGAATATCACTCTTGTCTCCCCGATTTATTTTTGCACGTAGAATCAGCACTTGGTCGAATTTATAGCACCGATTTCATGGACTTCCTGTATTGCTTATTAATTCAATTTAACGACATCTTTCAATTATAACGAGCAGGAAATCGTAAATTATCAAGAAGGGAAAGATACACCTAACTAGTCGTATTGGCGTTGTTTAAGCGCGCCGAGTGATCAGTAGAATAACAATATAATAAATCCGTCGCGCACGTAGTCGAGGGGACATTTCTAGATATTTCATGCGCTTTACCACGCGCTCGTTTTAATTAATTCTGTAGCAACAACTAAGCTTCAGGAGCTTATAACGAGCTTTTCCGTGCACTCCCGAGGACTTCCCTCTGGCTTTTTCAGTCTCTCTCTCTCTCTCTCTCTCTCT